TTTTTACATAATTAAGTTCTTCTTCAGATCTCAGCTCAAGTGGCACCATGACCAAAACACACAACAGGAACAACTTAGAGGAAGAAAAGTTTGACACTCATAATTTCAGAGGTCTCAGTCCACAGACAGCCAACTCCACTGCTCTGGCCCAGTGATGGGGGGAAAGCCCCAAAGAGAAAAGCTGCTCACTTAGGGAAGGGCAAAAAGCAGAGAGAGAAGATAAGGGGCCACAATAAAAATGCATCCCTCCAAGACATGCCTCTGGTGACCCCCCTTCTCCAGCTGCACCCATTCCCTGCAGTTACCAACCAGTCATTCAAACTAGGATAGACTGATTAGGTTACAGCTCTCATGATCTAAACATTTACCCCTGAATATTCCTGTATTAACAGTAGTTTTGGGGGTACATCTCATATTGAAGCCATAACACTACCCCAGCAAACTCTGTTTTACCTGTGAAATTAGACCAAATGCTTGTCGGGCCTTTATGATTAAACAGATCTCACCTACTTGCCACAGCGACACTATCCTTTTGCTTGTGCAATTTTGCTTAATGGGAACCTCTGCCAGTGGCCTGTTTCTGAGCCATGGGGGAAGAAACTAGTATAGGTTTTGACTTCCCATTGACTTTCTATTGCTTTGCCAGCATTGAGCTAATGTTTGGGATATAAGGTTTAATGTGCATTCCTTCAATAAAGAGCTAACTAAATAGAGTATTTGTCTAAAATAGTTGAAGTAAAGATATACTATGGCCTGAAAGTCAGAAGACCTGGTGTAAATTAGCTTTGCACTCAGTTTCAGTGTGATGTACATAGCAAGACACTCCAACTTCTGGTCCTCAGTTTCTCTAGTGCCTTGAGAGGCTTTTATTAAAATTTTATTATTGTTGTTATTTTAGTTGTACATATTTATAGGATATGGTGTGAGAGTTTGTTACATGTATACAAAGTGCAATGATCAAATTTGAGTTGTTAGCATTTCCATCTCAATTTTATTTATTTGTTTATTTATTTATTGGTACAGGGATTGAATCCTGGGGTGCTTTACCACTGAGTTATATCCCCAATTCTTAAATTTCAATTTGATATAGGATCTTGCTAAGTTGCCAAGGTTCTCCCTAAGTTGCTGAGGCTGGCCTCAAACTTATGATCCTACTTCCACAGCCTCTCAAGTCATTAAATCTACAGGCTTACACCACAACACCTGACATTTAATTTTTCATTATCACATAATATTAGTATGTTATTAGTGCAGCAGTGATATTTCAATGCATGTAAACATTGTGTACTGGTCAAATCAAAATAAATAACATTTTCATCTCCTTATCATTACTGTGTGTTTGGAGACTTCAAGCTCCTCTCTTCTAGTTATTCATAAAATATATAAAGGTTGCTGTGACCTATAGTCAGTCACCCCTCTGTTCTGTAGAACCCTAGAACTGATTACTTCTAGCCTTGTGGGTCCTTAGGTCTCCAATTCACTAACCATCTTATCAGCACTATCAGTTCTCATTACCGGAGTTATCACCCCTGTACTCTTTTTACTTTACCTCTTCCAGAAAGCAATGATGAGAAGACCTTTGAAATCCTGCTTTGTTTCCTCAGCTCTCCACAACTTTTCAACAAAAACTTCTTAAAAGGATGAAGGGATGTGTGCAAACCACTTTCGAGCCCATTGGGGTTTAAAGTTAAAAGGTCATATTGTATAGAATGGCCCTCATAGTCATCTGGGAACAATAACTAAAACATATAAATTACAAAACCATGATGGCCGGCTGCCGTATTCATGGAAACAGATGTTGGCTTGGCCAAAGTGCTTCATAATGATTATGATTAATCATCCCTAAAATCACTGTTATTTATTGGTGTGTAACTGGTGGAACCATGTTGGAAGAGCTACATTGTACCATTTTACAAATTTCAGTTGCTATAGCTATCACCCTAGATATAAAATAGTAAAAATGTTCTTTAAAATGTATTCATTTGGGCTGGGTCTAGGGCTCAGTGGTAGAGGCTTGCCTGGCTCACATGAGGCACTGGGTTTGATCCTCAGCACCACATAAAAATAAAATAAAGGTATTGTGTCCAACTATAAGTAAAATAAATGCATATTTAAAAATAAAAATAAAATAAAACGTACTCATTAAATATTAGTCAAAAAGAACAAAAAAAATGTAAAAGCCATAGCTTGAAATAATAGTCAAAAAACCGCTGTGCCAATACAAGTCACTTTGTTCAAAATAAATTTTCTTCCATGCTTCATACAAACTTAGTGCTAAGACAATACTCAAATAAGTGTAGACCTTTCTTTGTGAGGTATTTATAAATCTTTTTGCACAATGCTGCTTTAACCCAGAGCTACTAAGTTAGTTTATTGTGGTATCTTCATTTAGTCAATCTTCCTGTCACTAGTATTTTCCCACTTTATGAAGTTGCAGACATTTTAAATTTGGATCATTTTGCATCTGAAGATTTAAGTATGAATTATTTTAACTGGATCACATATATAATTGAAGTTTGAGGAGAGTTTGGGAAGAATCTTTAGTCAAACTTATTTTGCATGGAGTGTGGAGTCACTTACAGGGACAGGTGGCTTTCAGAACTAACTTGGAGCTTCTTTATATTCTCCTTTGACTCAATCCCCATCTTAGCCAATAAGATAAATAGGCACCTGATAAAGTATGCACAACCTTGACTTTCCCTCACATGCTCAGTGACACATACCTAAAACAGGATAGGCTGACAGGCCCAAGGGCACTGTGAGTTTAGGTGCATTCCTAATGCATGTTTTCCCAGAACATGTCTACACTCCTCCAATATGTTCAGCATTGTTTTCAGTCCCAGTAGAAGGCTGTGAGAGACAGCCCCAGGTGCTGTTGGTACAGCTTTTTCTTAAGTATGTCCATAAAGCTACTGCCATATAATTCTTGGTCTATTGCCACAAATAAACAGCAAACACTAGGCCATGGGCTATGCTCTTTGAACAGCTCAGAATTGTTCTGCACAATCCTCTGATTATCTGTGGGGTGGGGCAGCTAGAGAGAGTTGGAGTGGGTGCTGAGAGTCTGCTATAGAAGCCAAGTCAGAGTACCATGTGTAACAGCACTGCTGACATGCGGAGAGGCACCAAGAGTGTAGTCACAGCCACTGCAAACCTGCTGTTCTACTATACTATCATCAATAAACCAAGAAAATCACTCAGGATGACTTGTGCAGCTGGAATGGACAAGGAATTCTTGGTAAATTGGAAAGTGATAAACAGTAAAAAATATTTCATAGGAGATAAGATTTGTGATCATTTCTCAGTAATTGTCACTAACAGGTCTTTATATAATACATCATAGAAGGACAAGGTGCAGCTTGCGTTCTAAATATTTATATAGGTGTGCATAGGGGAGTCCTGTTGCCCCCCAAAGGCATATGGAACATTCTTATCTTTAATTAAGAGATATCTTAAAATTTAATTTGACCCAAATTTCCAAACATTCCAGAACTGAAAATCACTATTCTGATTTTAAATTACCTAAGAAAGAAGACTCCATGATCTTACTTCAAAGCATATTCTAGAGATTTATTATAAAATATAATGAAGAGATGTGACTATTTGAAGTAATCTATCCTAATGATTCTCAAGTGGGGGTGGTTCAGCTTTCCAGAAAACATGTCGCAATATCCAGACATGTTATGTTACTGTTACAGCTGGTGGAGAAGGCAGGATGTCTAGTCTGGTATGCTGCTCAGTTTCCTATAATGCACAGGACAGCCTGGAATTATCCAGAAAAATGTCAATCAGGCTAATGTTGAAAACACTAAAATAGACAACAAATGCAACTGAATTGTTCTTTTTGAATAATTGGATTTGCCTCTGTGTGTACCACACATTGGTCCCAGAACACTACATTAATTTCGATAAAGGAAGTTATTGATAATTATTAAAATAAAATAAACCAAAAAGGCATTTGTTAAGTGCCCAATCATGTGTGTAGACCCTGCTTTTCAAGGATTGCTATTTTTTTTGATTTTTTAAATTTATATATGACAGTGGTATGCATTACAATTCTTATTACTCACATAGAGCACAATTTTGCATTTCTGGTTATATACAAAGTATAATCACACCAATTCATATCTTTATACATGTACTTTGGATAATAATGACCATCACATTCCACCATCATTTCTAACCCCATGCCCCCTGCCTTCTCCTCCAACCCCTCTGCCCTATCTAGAGTTCATCTATTCCTCCCGTGCTCCCTCTCCCTATCCCACTATGGATCAGCCTCCTTATATCAAAGAAAACATTTGGCATTTGTTTTTTGGGGATTGGCTAAATTCACTTAGCATTATCTTCTCTAACTCCATCCATTTACCTGCAAATGCCATGATTTTATTCTCTTTTATTGCTGAGTAATATTCCATTGTGTATATATGCCACATTTTTTATCATTTCATCTATTGAAGAGCACTTCATTTGGTTCCACAGTTTTGCTATTGTTAATTGGGTCAATGTTATAAACATTGATGTGGCTGTGTTCCTGTAGTATGCTGTTTTGAAGTCCTTTGGGTATAGACCGAGAAACAGGATAGCTGGGTCAAATAGTGGTTCCATTCCCAATTTTCCAAGAAATATCCATACTCCAAATACATACATACATACAAATCTCCAATTGGCTGTACCAATTTGCAGTCCCATCAGATGTGTGTGAGTGTAACTTTTTTCCACATCCTCACCAACACTTATTGTTGTTTGTATTAATAATAGCTGCCATTCTGACCAAATTGAAATGAAATCTTCGATTGGTTTTGATTTGCATTTCTCTAATTGCTAGCAATGATGAACTTTTTTCATATAGTTATTGATTGATTGTTTATCATCTTCAGGTCCTTGGCCCATTTATTGATTGGGTTATTTGGTTTTTTATTGTTTAAATTTTTGAGTTCTTTATATACCCTAGAAATTACTGCTCTATCTGATGTGCATGTGATAAAAATTTGCTCCCATTCTGTAGGCTCTCTATTGAAATCCATATACAACAAAATGAAATTAAACCCCTATCTTTCACCATGCACAAAACTCAACTCAAAATGGATCAGGACTTAGGAACAAAGGTTACTATTTGAGAGGTGGGGAATGTTGTGTATGGAAAAAAAATCTCTATATGTTTCAGAGAAGAAAACAATCCATTCTGCTTGGGTGTCAGGAAAATATTTACACAGGAAGATGACTTCAATCTTTCAGACTAGTTATGCTTTACTTTGTAGTAATGCATCTTAAACATCATTTGGAGCTCTTGATTTAAATAGGAACAAGCACAGTTGTAAATATTTTGCATTCATTATTGTGTAAAATATTCTGCAGACAGACCTATGAAGTAGGAACTGTTATCCTTGGATGAGTAGAATTCTGGCAGGAACTATCTGTCTCTCAACTGACTGCATGGCCACCAAATCACATGGCCTCCATGTAAATGCACTAAGTGATTTCCATCAGAGGATATCAATTCCTAGTGATTAAATCTTCACTTTCAAGGGGAGGAGCAAAAGGTCTTCAAAGTCTTCTGAGCTTCAGAGTTCATTATTCTAACCCCAAAAAGAGGATGATTCTTTTACAAAGTAATCATCTTGAGGGAAGCTCCACACTGAAATCCGAATTTCAAAGTGTGTGTAAAAATGATAACATTAAATAGCTTTCTGGGATATTGACTATAAAATATATTTTATCTTAGACTGGGGCACAATTGGGCATAAGTGAAGTCCCTGTCATTGCCTTCCCAAGGTCAAATCAGTTTCATCTTGATGGCGCAAATGCAGTCCACACCTCATATCCATTTTATTCATTCATTCATTCAGCAAATATATGCTGATTGTCAACCATGTGCTGGACAGCAGTCTGATAGTTGGTGTAAAGCAATGATTGGCCAGTCTTTGACCTCCTTCAATTAATGAATGAAAATGGAACCTTGACATCAAAAGATTTCCAGGCAGATAAAGTCAGCATAATGTTTCTTACCTTTAAATTATTTGAGTTATTGCGATAATGATTCACCTGAATTTTCAATAAAATGTTCAGTGTTTTCTTATATTTGTCTTCCAAATATATATAAGCATGACTCCTGGAAGTATGAATAAAATTGAAATAATGTCATCACCTAACACTTTCTGAAGTATTTAAATAACATATGAAGACATATTATGCTAAAAGATACTGACATGTTTTCTTATATCAATGGCCTTGATTTTTTCCAGAGATATTCTAGATTTTATTCCAACAATAAAAATGAAAAAATTATTTATTATATTTATACCTATAATAAGATATATCAAGCCAAGAAACATTATGAGAAATTTTATTTTTATGCAATGCTTCTTTTACAATGTTTAGAGATCTCAGTTGAGCAGCTTTGCTTTATCAACTTACCTGTGATAAGAAGGAGTTATTTTTTTTTATCAGATCATCTGACAAAACACTTTTCTCTATCTTTACAAGTTTATTCATGGTACTCCCTGCATCTGGAAGCCTCATTTCCTCCTTACCAATCCCTGTAGCACTTCCTTCAAAACTCTATTTGAAATTGTTCCATTTATGTATGTGTGTTTACTTTTATACTTTGATCTATCCTTGAAAAGATTCAAAGCAGCTTATACCAAGACACATAGAAGATGACCCAATAACATCAGTTAAAAGTGGGGCAAAAGAAGAAAGTAAAACAAGAGTGGAGATGAAATCAATCCAAAAATGAGTCTAAAAATGCATAACATAATAATCCACACATGTGAATATGTGGGCCATAAATCTGGCCTTAAATTTTCTAGCAGCCAACATGAAAAGAAAAATTTATCAGTTAGTTACACAATTTGCAGTGTCCATGGAACACTAACAGTCCAAATTTCCTGGGGAGGTCTAATTATTCATGGTACTCAGACAAGACAAAAACTTTCCCCAGGATCTTCATAAAAAGGTGATGTAATGAAAACCATCATAGTTTCTTCATAATCCATGGAGCAAGGTCCCTGGTGCTGCTATAAAGATGTAAACTAGTGCCACATGCCAGACACCATACAGAACAAAAAAGGAATTATATTGGAAAGGGGAAAAGAAAAGGCAGAAATAGCCAACACCAAAAAAAAAAAAAAAAAAAGAAAGAAAGAAAGAAAAACGAAAAGAAAAAGGGAGCTTTAACCCAGACTTTTAATTCTGAGTTTCTTGAAGGAGATAAATTTAGCAATTCTCTCCTAGCTTTTGATCAATATTGCATAGTGACAAGTGTGTGATTAAATGTGGCAAATGCATCGAGAATGGCTATTCCCTGTGCCATTAGGTTCATCTGCCAGTACTTGAGCAAACTCTAGATTTGGACTAGGGTTCATGTCCTTTTGAAGAAGCTGAGAAGTTTGGAAAAGCACATGAATAATGGATAGATACCCCACTCCCTCACAAGATTAGAAAACAGTACACTGACAAGAAAATGATCTTTCTTTAAAAAAAATATTTTGAACCCACTGCCGACCCAGAAGTATAGGCAATTGAGGTCCCAAAGTTCCACTCCATTTTTCATGGCCAAAATAGCTTTAGCTGCATTAACTGAAGACAACAGGATACCTAGCTTAGCCAAAAGAAAATATCAACAGAGCTCTGAAAACATTGTTAGCTTTAATTAGAATACTTTCTAGTGTACGTCCCAGGATAAGCCATTTTGAAATGCACATCAAGGAAATAGCAATGTGTTGTATGAAATTGTTAATTATTTACAAGCCAGCTAAAAGATGAAGACCTCTAGGAAAGAAAATATCATTTTTAGAAAAAAAATAAGATGAAGAAGAAAAGGCTAACAGGCATACCAGAGGCTTTTATTTCTGGACAATAATTGGCCACTGGGGTCAGAGACCTGTTAAAGCCACTCCTTATTTGGAAAAAAAACCCTCAATATTCACGTTAGAAAGGATGTTTGTGCAGTCTTCTTAATACCAGGAGAAGGAGGGGTTGAAGTCAGCCCAACCAGGTCATTAAGAACCAAGTTTTAAAGACAAGACATCTACACACAGTCATTTGTAACCTCAAAAACAATGGTTAGCTGTGTCAAAAGAGTGTTTCTATTTGCTCTGATCTGAGCAGAATCATGGTAGGGTCAGTTTTATATAAATGTCTGGACCTGAGGTGCTGTCTAGCCAGAGCTCACGATCTCCTAAGGCAACCAAATTTCAAACACAAGGATTAAAACCAAAGAACTGTCAATAAATGCAGCAACAATTTGATATTTCTACTATATTTTTCTAAACAAAGATAACAGTGATCTGTTTCTCATTAAAAGAAAATATTGGCCTATGAGTCTAAATTTGTAACTTTACAATCAAATACCTGGCATATATTTTAGGAAAATTTAGGAAGGCTATAATTTGGAATAGGGAGAATTGTCTTTTTAAAATATAGAATAAATTACACTATTCATCCAACCAGGTAAGTTTTAACAGTAGCATAAATTATAGTGGGAAAGTTGGTGAGAGGGGTCCTTGAATAAGATTAGAAAGGAAAATAACCTCTAGAATCTAACTACATGTCCTAACACAATGACCTAATTCAGAACAAATTTTGTTGGGGGTAAGTTCTTTAAAGTAAGGATGAATTGAAATAATTCTTTAATTGTATAAGGTTCCAAGTGGTCATGAGAGATGTGACATCTCGATCTCACTGAAGAGATTTTGAGTTGCTCCACTCTCTGCCAATATGCAGCAATTTGGTGCCCCTTAAAACCTTAAGTAGACTTCAGCTTATACTAGACCACCTCATACTCCTGAAAACCACTTCCAGCCTGTATTAGTTTCCTAGAGCTGCCAAGCAAAATAAATTGATTATCTCTGCACAGATATTGTTGGTAAATCTTATTCTCAGTTACCAGGGTTTAGGACTTTGGCACATTATTTTGGAGGACACAATTCAACCATGAATACAACACTATTATTCTGCAGAACAGAAGAAGAATCTTTGGAATTGGCTGCTTTCAGCAATGATGAGGAGACCTGGCCTATCCAATGACTAGTGATTCTAAAACTAAAGAACAAAGAACAACAACCCCTCTGCTCTTTACCACAAAGAAGGGGCAAAGTTCTGTCACACCTTGAGCTGTCAAGATAAACAGTGACATTTGCCTGTCTGTTCCTATTCTCTGTAGAGAGGAGGGCATCTGAAGTGAGATTGATTGCACAGAGCCATGAGCCTGGGTACACATTCCAGCATCACCACCTCTTACCTTTGGAAGTTTGGGCAAGTCTTTTACCATCCCCAATCTGTAGTTAACTTGTCTACAAAATGGAGATAAATGAAATTTATTATAAGATTTAAATGATTCAAATATATAGACTTAGACTGGGGCTGACACACAATAGCACATGCTCATGTTAGATATTTTAAGGTTCTCAGGCTATTCACAGCTTGGTCTGGTCATCACCTCATTGTGCTCATTTTGAGCAACATACCAAAATTTGAAGGCAATTGCTTCTGCACTGGTATCTTTGTGTCTGGATGACATACTTTCTCCAGTTTTCCATGAGCAAATTCTTCAAAACATGAGCCATACTTTCCATTTTTTTCTATAGCCTACAAAATTTAAAACAGTGTAAGACACATAAGCAAGTGTGATTAAATCCCAAATAATTGAAAAATAAATACAAACTTAACTTTAACCACTAAGAAGAGGATTTTTATTGCAAGCAAATTTGCATATACAAGGATAATTTTTATGAGCCATTATTATTCATAAATGTTCAAAAAACTCCTGCAAAGGCACAGAATATAAAATATGAGGAAAGATTATGGCTGCAAAGCATTGGCTTTGGGACTAACATTGCTTTATTATGGTTCTGGCAAGTAATCAATGGGAAATTCTGTTGCATAGACATAAATCATAATTGAGTTTTCATCAGGCCTGTGCCAAATCTGTGCCTGAATGAAATCCAGGATCCTCATGCCAAGGTGCCTTATCAGTCCATATGCAAATATGCCTTTTGATGAAATCAAAGAACAGTAGAATTCAGGAGAGATTTAAGCCATGTGTTGCCAAAGCCCGGTGGACATTTATCTCTTCCATTGGCCAATGACTAGAGAGCGTTTGCAAGGGGAAGCACTTCTCATGCAATTCTTCTCTTTGGATACACCAGAGGATTTAGAGATGAGAACATCAACATAGTGAACAGTCTTCCTAAAAGTTCATGAATACCAATATTTTTTCTAAAATCCTAGAAAAACTTTATCTAAATCCCATTAAAATGCCATCAACTAACACTAAAAAGAAGCTGAAGAAACTGTGTACCTGTCTTTCTCAAGGGAAAAGGGAAAACGGGGGCATTAAAGACTATCTGCTCTATGAGTTAGCAAAGAGTTCAAAATTTTCAAGCTTTTATTCCTTCCTGAAAGATAACACACCTGAAACTCTAATTCAATCTGAATTGAATAAATGTAATATTATCCTTACTTCTTTTGAGGGCCGATAATTAGATTGAGATTCATCACTCTGCTTACAGCTTTAAAAGGATCTTTATTTTTAAATGTTTTTTAGTATTTCTTAATGTTCTTTCTTTCTTTAGATCAAGCTCCAAAACTTTTTTTCTGGGAGAAAATTTTATCTAGATATTTGCTACAGTTCACACCACCTCCCACTGCACATGCAAACACAAAGATTCCCTGTATCTGTACTGTCCACTTGCTATAGTTTGGATCTTCAATATCCTCCTTGGTCTCCAAGGAGGTACAATTATACTTTGTGGTAACTTGAAGAAATGGGGTCTAGTGGGAGGTATTCAGGTCATCGGGGTATTCCCTTAAATAGAAACAGAAATTGGTAATGAAAATTATTTTTCAGATTAATGGTTCTATTGTGTTGTTCTTTTATATCAAACATGTTGCTCCTTTCCTTGTTTACAATAGAATAAGTATTTTTAAAAGTACAAATTAAGAATCTATTGAAAGGGGAGGGAAGCACATTTTGCAATTAAATGACTTAGAAGGTAATTCAAAGAAAAAATGTTTACACCTTTCAAAAATATCTTATTCAACAAGAAAAAAAATCAATATATATAATATTAAAATCAAATTTATAGTCTTTACTTATATTTTTTGAAATGTTAACCCAAAGAAAGGGAAGCTTTCCATGATAAAGTAATAAAATAATGCTTAACCACTGTTTCCAATGTTGTATTCTCTGACTTAAAAGACAACCTTATATATATGAATATGTGCATATTAACCCTGATTCACTAATTCATATAAACTTTAGTGTTGCTAAAAATAGAAGTAGCAAAGCAAATCCAAAACAGATGGAAATGGTAAGAGTGAAAATCCCTATTTACTACTAATTAGAATAAAAATAGCACTCATTAAATATTATTGACCTATTTTTTTATAAAATGAAACAAAACAAAAAGTGCTAAAGCAGAAGTCACAGAAGCAAATTTGTTAAAAATAAAGATTAGCACCAGTCATTTGGTGGGTGATAAAGGTGATATTGTTTTATTGTTAACTCCAAGATGTTTGATTATGAGAAATTGCAAAGTAAAATGCCTACAGGGGTAAGGCAGAATAATGAGTGAAAAAGGCTGGTAATACAAAAAAAATAACAATGCATTTGCAATGATTGGCAAAAAGACTTGTGTAGGAGGATGTCTTGTATAATTTGGCAAGTTTTTCCAAGTCCTGCCTGACATACCATCACTATAAGTTCTGGGATTATGTTGATATTGTTTTTTTTTGTTGTTGTTGTTGTTTTAATTGGCACAATAAATAACCTTTAAAATTATATTCCAGTCTTTCATCTCCAGGGTCACTCAAGCTTCCTAATTTTTCTTGAAGTTAAGAAAAACCTAGGAGAATAATCATCTGGAATACTGGCAAGAAGAGATCCATGACCTTTTCCCAAGTGAAAAAAATATAACTAGTAAAAATTAATATTTGTTTTAAATCTCTGGAAGTAATGCTAAGGTCACATAGTAAATGGAGAACCATTCATTAAAAAAATCTACTAAATATCTGTCAGAACATTGAGTCTCTAACATCTGAGCTATAGTATGCTCCTCACTCTATCAAAACACCATGAAAGTAGCTCTACTCTAAGTAGATAAGGGCAAAAATACAAGATTCCCTCAGTTCCCAATCTAATGCAATAGTTTCTCCCCAGGAGGAGAGGGGTACCAATATTTTTTAGATCCCATAGCTCTGTGTTGCAGAGGCTCTATTTTAGTCAACAGTATCTGAGAGATCTGAGACTCCCTTTCTTGCTCAAAGCTTTACCATAGGCATGGCAGGGTGAAAGCACCAGGTCCAACCACCCTCGCTTAAGCTTATTCATAGGGCAGAACTTCTACACCAAGAAGACCAGGGATCTCTAGATATTCAGTCTTACATCCATTTTTGTTAAGTTGAGGTGTTTCCCAGAGAACATCAGAACAATGTCCCCACCTCCAACTCCATAGCTGTGGTACAAATATTTTTCTTAGGGGTTAAAAAAAAGGCCTCAAGAAGACATAGTCCTTTATATATTCTTTAGGGAACTGACTTTATTTGGAACAGAATATAAAAAAGTTCAAGAGTAAAGACAATGTCAGAAACATTGGAAATTTTGGAAAACTCAATTAAAAGGAACAAAATAGGCTGGTATTTTCATAGTAACAATAAGCTAAAACTTATACAAGCTCTGAGTTTAATAGAACCAGGTAAAGAAGAACTTTCCAGGGGTCAAAACAAGCTTCAAGAATCACCTCAAAGTCTGTCTTCTAAAAGAGACCAAATTCAACTGAATCAGACCATGGGACAATTTATGCCTCAGGGAGTTTTATAAAACCATCAGTTGTCAGTTATCACAAAACAACCACTGTGTATGATGGCAAAAAACACACAATAGACAGAAACTTAAGAGTAAGATCATGGAAAGGGTCAAAGACAGTGTTGCTAAAACTTTTGACTTCTCAAAAAATAAAGCAGTGACAATAGAAGAGATTATACACTAAAGTATAAATAGACTTTACCAAAATAGTACAGGCATGTCATTAACAAACAAAACAAATAATGAAAAATATGGCCTGACACAAGAAGTAGGATCATTATCCATACCTAACATACTGTATTATCTAGTCTACTTTCAAATGACATAAAAAGGACACTCAAAGGAAAATGAACGTTGAACCATAAACAACAACAACAACAACAACAAAAAAACAAAGCAAACAATATGCCTTGCCTTTCAGATAGCACTGATGTTGGAGCTAAAATACAATGACTTCAAAAGAGTTACTTGAATTATGTTAAAGAACTAAAGGAAGCCAGGGCTGGGGCTCAGTGGTACAGCACTCACCTGGCATGCATGATGCAGTGGGTTCAATCCTTAGCACCACATAAAAATAATAGAAAGGTATTGTGTCCACTACAACTGAAGAAATTACATATTGACTAAATAAAGCTATATTTAAAGAAGTAAAACACAATGTGGTGACAGTATCTTATCATATAAGAATATTAACAGAGTTGGAAATATTTTTAATAAAGGAATCAGATGGAAATTATGTAGATGAAAAGATAATAATCAAAATTTAAAATTACTAGAGGAGCTCAAAAGTACATATTAGAAGAAAAAAGAATCAGTGAACTTGAAGATAGATCCACACAATCTAACCAATCATTAAAACAGAAGAAAAATTAAGAAAAACAAACGTGGTCTCAAAGCAAGGGGGCAATCTACTAAGCTCACCAACATATTACTAATGGAATTACTAAAATAAAAAAGGATAGAGAAAAAAAATAGCCAAAAACTTTAAATATTCTTTAAACTTCCCAAATTTCATGAAAAATATTATTCTAAAACACCAAAAAACCTCAATGATTCCAAGCAGGATAAATTTAAAATGATTCATGTCTGTCTAAACATAACATAATCAAAATGTTTAAAGTCAAAAACCAAGAGGAAATACTGGAAGTAGCAAGAGAAAAGGAAGTGATCATATACAAGAGAACCCCAATAAGATTATGGCTGACTTTGTGCCATAAACTATGGAAATCAAAAGGCAATAAGAGGACATAGTAAGTGTTCACACAGAAACACAATATCAGTCCAGAATTCTGTCTGTGAAAACTCATGTTTCTTAATAAAAAGCCAATCCATAGAATGGCTTAGATGTCTGGTAGATCATATTTATAGTAAAGAACTCTTACAACTCAACAGCAAAAAGAATCAAAACCCACATGAAAAAACATTAAGCAAAATATTTGAACAAACATATCTTCAAAGATGATATATAAACCACCAATAACATAAATATCTGCTCAGCATCATTAGACAAGGAAATCAAAATTATTATCACTTAATATTCACTAGCATGGCTGTAGTAAAAAGAAAAATAATAGATGTCAATAAGAACAAGGAAAAATGGGAATCTCCAGAAACTGCTGGTAGAATGTAAAATGGTGCAGCTACCTTTAAAAAAAGTTTGTCATTTTCTACAATTGTAAACATGGAATTACATCTTATCCACTGATTTTAATTCTAGATACACTTTCAATAGATAAGAAATCAGATGCCTACTCAAAAACTTGTACACAACTGCTCATAAAACATAATTGATAATGTCCTAAAATTATTATAAACAACCAAAAATGCTCATCAAATGATTAACACATAAATAAAATTTGGCATATTCATTTCTTAGAATATTATTTAGCAATAAAAACTAACAAAGTTGCTGGGCATGGTGGTGCTGCACACCTGTAATTCCAGCTACTCAGGAGGCTGAGACAGAAAGATTGCAAGTTTCACTCTGTCCAAATTAAATAAAACAGGATGAGGATGTAGCTCAGTGGTAGAGGGTTCCTGGATTCAAAGCCTAGTATCACAGTGGGGGAAAAAAGAATGCTACAATGTGAAAGAACCTTAAAAACACTATGCTAAGTGAAAGAAGTCATCCAGGGAGCTACCTGTTAGTAGCTTCTGTAGACTTTTATTTTGAAAATAAATCAATTTACACCAGGGAATAGGGTAACACAGACCTGTGATTCTGTTCTCAGAGAGCCTAAAAACTTTGACATTACCTTCCAGTGAGTTTATAAGTTTATAACAGTCACAGACTAGACGTAAGCAGGCATTTTCAGAAAAGATATCATGCATTATCATTATATGATACTATTGATATGAAATTTTTGGATAGGCACTCTCTACAGAGAGACATAAAGTAGAATAAATTAGTGGGCAGGTTGGGGAAATTAAGAAGTAGCTAGTAATAAGTATGACATTTAGATTTGGAGTGATAAAAATGCTTTAAAATTGATATGGTGATGATTACACAATTTTGTGAAGATATGAAAAACTATTGAATGTACATTTTGAGTGAAATATGATATGTGAATTTTTATAGTAAAACAATTTTTAATTTCATTTTCTCCAAAAAGAAAACAACCCGAGCTTCTAAAATAAGGCTTTTTTTTAAAGAGAGAGGGAGATAGATAGAGAGATAGATAGATAGATAGATAGATAGATAGATAGATAGAGAGAGAGAGAGAGAGAGAGAGAATTTTTAATATTTATTTATTTATTTATTTTAGTTTTTGGCGGACACAACATCTTTGTTTGTATGTGGTGCTGAGGATTGAACCCGGGCTGCACACATGCCAGGCGAGCATTTGAGCCACATCCCCAGCCCAAGGCTTTTTTTTAATGACCTGAAAATGTAAATATTTTCTTAAACAACTTAAAAATATGTTCTCACAGAAATTTTGTCATAAGTTTGCAGACAACCAGAGAAAGGTCTATATATTTAGCTTAATCTTTTACAAACTGTGAACTGAAGTTCTCCAAAGATGCCACATCTATATTTGAGAGCCTGCAGACTGTGTGACCTTGGCTGACTGGAACATGGTGATTGTGGAGAGATGGAATGTTGCAGATAAAGAGCCAAAGTTATCTTAGGCTGCCTTTGGTTCTTTTTAATAGCCATTTACCATCAACCTCTGAATCTGACCTAGCGTTCTTGTGATGACTGGATAAAACTCTAGGAATGTATACCAGGCTTGGTAGTCCTCCCACCTCTACTAAGCCTACAGTTAAGAATGTGCTGACATATGAATCCTGTGGAGAGTTCGACCCCTTGTTAAAGATAACATCTGAATCATATAGAAGAGATTTTCCCACCTCTTTGTAGCCCACTTCCTTGATGACCCCAACTACTTTCTCTTGTGACTATCAAAGCTCCTGTAACTTTTTCCATGGAAGAACCATGTCTTTCAAGGTAATTTCAATCAGTGTTACAGGGCCATGGTCGCTTATGTTTTCTTATTTTCCCAATGCAGAGTTACTCTTGGCCATTAACAAAGCTGATTGCAAAAATAAAATTTTAGCTTTTATTATATATTAAATACATTGATGCAAGGCATGGAAAGAGTTATACAATTCAAAGAAATTTGATTCTCTAGTGACACTTGCAAACAGCACATTCACAACAATGATTTGTTCCTGTTAACCTGTTAGTAACTTCTGTAGACATTTATCTTGAAAATAAATCAATTGACACCAGGGAATATAGTGATTCTATTCTCATAGGGCCTAAAAACTTTGACATTACCTTCAAGTGAGTTTATAACTGTCATAGACGTATGCAGGCAACTTGTTAGGATGCAGGCACTGTACTCTCTTAATCGTCACTCAGGGATCAAGACCAGGGATGTGTGCTGCCACAACTGCTCTAGTTGGAAGAGAAAAATGTCACAAATCATGCATTAGTCCTTAAACCTTCAGCCTGAAAGTAACAGACCCTCTTCTGCTCCCATTCACATGGCCATGCATAATCCTAAGAGAGTAGTGAAGTGCACATGCTCTTCACTACAGGAGGGCTGATGACATTTCATGAACTGAACTTTTGACTACCCAGTCACACACTCCAATGGGATGGTATCATGGCATGTGTGGAGAGCTGGTCTAAAATGATGATGTGTCTGAACAGATCAGTAGTTAGGAGAACAAGGAGCAGTATAGCAGCAGTGTCACTTCCTCCCTAGACTTTAGTCCTCTCCAAACCTGGGATTAGATTTTACCAGTTTCTGTGGTAGGTGGAATAATGCTCCCTCAAAGTCGCCAGCATCCTTACCTCCAGAATCTGTAATGTGTCACTTATATGGCAAAAGGGACTTTATGAGGGTGATTAAGTTAAGGGTCTTGTAATTGAGAAGTCATTCAAGATTACAAAGATGAGTCTAATGTAAAGACAAGGGCTTTTGTAAGAGGGATACAGGTGTGTGTCACAACAGGAGATTTGATGACAGTCAGAATCAGAGGGACATTTAAAGATGCTGTACTATACATTCAGTCAAGTGAAGCTCAAGCAGGAGATAATGGACCACTACCTGGGCAAGTTCTCTATCATCTGCAAGCCTGTGAAGCATAGCTAGCCTGGCATGGGGCACTCAGTCTTCCTGCTTCAACCCCTTCGAATAACCCACTTGGCTGACAAAGGGAAATACATGTCTCTGGTTCAAAACAAAACAAAAATTGCTGCCCTGCTAACTTTGAAGAATGCAAGCCAAAGAATTCAAGTATTCTCTAGAAGCTGGTAAAGGGGAGGAAATGAACTTGCCAGTAGAGTCTCCAGAAGAACAGAGTCCTTCCTATGTCTTGATTTTAGTAGTTAGAACATTTTACATTTCTGAACTCCAGAAATATAATCATTTCTAGTAACAATTGGAAACTAATACAATGCCCCAGAATATATGATGTGTAATATCAGAACTAGAGCCTCAGATGACCAATTTTGAAACTGGCAAGATGACATGACAGGGAGCTCTGTTACAAAACTGCATTATCTCTACCTGATGAACTTGAAATCCATTCTCAGCACTCTAGCCATGACCTAGAAAGTCAGGTGGCTCCAACCCCGAAAGTTTCCTCTGCAAGAACTTGGTCCTGCAGCTTAATTATGGTTGAAATAAGAAAAACAAAAGCCCAGAAATATAATATTAGTTTCTCTGCTTTCTTTGCTTCTGGCTGTCTGTGTCATTCTCTTTTATCAGCCTGAACTTTTTTTTTGTCAGCTGAACCCAACAGCAGAACCAGACCAACTTTAAACAGGTCTTGGCATAACACAGAGCACCTGGCATGCATTCTTGTAATTAATTTGTACCACCATCTTGAAAAATAGAGAAAATCAAGTCCACTTCATCTAAGAGAAAATTGAGATTCAGTGATATTAAATAAATAAACCATACCAATCTTGCTCCAAATAATCTATGGTCATTTTGTCACATTGCTGGAAGGAGACAATAAAATATGTTGAACACAAATACAATTTCCAAGAATGTGAGCATCTTCATAAAGGTCACATTATCTAGTGAAATATCCTATTTCATTTCCAAGAATATTTATTCAATTCCATTTGAGTAATACCCAGAAACCCTTAAAGAATAAAGTCAATTCTCCCTCATCTTTAGATGAATTATGCAAGATTTTGGCTTTCCTATGATAAACATTTGTTTAAAGTTAGTCTATTAACCAATAACACCTACTCTGGCTAATGAATTGCTTTGCTGATATTATTAACATTTTGTACTCTGCCTACTTAATTACCATGTTCTAAAATAATAAATCTATTTTTACTTACCCAGGTCAAGGCAAAATTATAAGACATATTCTTCTGTGCTCTTCCCAACCTTTCATTGTTAGAATGTTGCTAGAAAAGAACATAAAAACTAAGGGAAAATAGATGGCAAAGAAAGCTGCATAGTCAACAGTGAGTCTGACCTCTAACACTCAATAACCAGAATTCAAGTAGACCAGTATTCTTCCCAATAGCCAGTGTTCAGGTGGACTTGAGCCAATGTTCTCAGCCTTACAAGTTAAAAAGAAATTATTCACATCTATATGTAACATATTGTATGCATTTTATACTACTGTTTAAACTTCACAACATAAGAATTTAATGTTAGCTCCAATTTACAAAGAAGAAAACCTTCACCAAACTTAGACACAGAGGAACTGGAATTCATCCCAGGTTCATCTGACCCTAGGACTCTGACCCTTGGTCATGGCATAGGATAGGAGCACTCCATATCAGAGAGGGCAGGAATAGCACAATTCCCAATGGCTAATGTGTAGAGGCAGAACGCTCACTAATGATTGAGTAGAATGATGCAACCAATATACCCAGGCTCCAGACAAGTGTGCCAGAGCTCAGGGAAAGTTCAAAACCTGGAATTAGAATGCTAAGCCAAGAAACAGAGACTGAAGGCAAGTTTCAAGTGTAGACACGCACAACATAGAGAAATGCATGTCAAATGTATGAGTTCCTGATGTTCATCCCAGGCACACCTTTCCCCCAGTAACAGGTGTAGTCTGTAATTCCACAAATCAATGAATAATTTCACTTTGTGTGTAATGAAAGGCACAACATCTCAAGAATTTTGGGAGGATGGAGACACATATAAGTACCTAGGCACAGATAAAAGCTATAAAAAAAGAACTTCTATTTAAAATAAAACTATCAAGACCCTTAAACATGCACATTATTGACTTCACTCACTCACTGACATTTTTTGAGAACATACTATGTACCAGATATCTTTTCAAATTTAGAATTTTGAGATTCTACCCAAATTTTAGTAAATCCAAATATGTATTTCTGTTTATTTCTCCAGATTATCAAATATATTTAACAGCCAGTTTTTCTGAAATATTTTTTCTGAAACTTTATCTTAGTAGTTTTTCAACTAAAAGAAGTTAAGGAAGATCCAGGCCAGGAAAACAGTGTCAGAGAAAAATGTCCTGAAATATGAAAGATATTTATCTGCTTGGGAAAAAGCAAAACATTCAGAGCAGATGGGATATAAAGTGGGGAGAGAGTGGGTGGGGAGACAACATTGCCATCTTCATTCTGTGGGAAATTTTTTGGGTCAGGGAGGGAAAGGGAGGTAGGACTAGGTATTACACCTCACATTACATGGTTCTACCGGAGTTGCTTTAGCCTTGCAGTTCTTCTTGTTCTCAGAAGGAATGTGCTCAGAGATTCAATCATTTCTATTTTAGGATCAGTTCCAAGGAAGGTTTGATTTCTGGGAGAAAAACCTGGATGAGTTCCCAGTTGTGCCTCAGTAGGGCCTTCATTCACAGCATGCTTTCCTCTTTCTCTTTGATGTGAATTTTCAGAACATTGGGTGTAACCAACATCCAAACATCAGTGAAATATACCCATCGAAAAATAAGTTTGAATATTTTCACAATACTCCTGATTTAGATTGGCCACGTCTCCAACGTGCCTACTCACTAGACTTGAGAGTCATCTCTTCAGGCCTTGAGAACAGCCATAAGAAGGTATGTGGGATGGCTTTAAACAAAGTACCTGAGTGAAGGGATCTTAGGAGCTAAAATCCAGAGGAGCTCTGCTGTGACTGCTTGTGAAGTTATAGAGTCTGACAAGAGGTGGTGTCTAACCCCAAAAAGAAAGAATCTGTTTTCTTTTCCATTCAAAGAAATTAGCCTACTATAGAATTTTGTTCCACTAGAGAAAAAAAACAAGCCTATGAGATAAAGGACTACTTCAGCCAAGAAGAATAGTGACAAAAGACTGATATTTCATCTACAAGAAAGTGAGTTAAGCTCCCAGGTATGGCGATGCACACCTGTAATCCCAGTGACTCAGGAAACTAAAGAAGAAGGATCATAAATTCAAGGCCAGCCTCTGCAACTTAACAAGACCCTGCCTCAAAATAAAAAGGACCAGGGTTGTAGCTCAGTGGTAGAACACACCTGGGTTCAATCCCCAAGCTGAAAGAAAAAAGAGAGAGAGAGAGAGAGAAAAGGAAAATGAGAAAGAAGAATTAATTCTGGGATGATAAAAATGTGATTTTTTATATGAAAAAGGCAATAATTGCACATAAATATCTGTCATAAGAAGGAGAGCAATGATCACTACTTATAATTATTTGTATTATTATTAATTTTCAGAGTACTAGAAATACTTTTGTAATTCAACTTAAAAGAATTACAAATTAAGCTGTGTCTAATGGCTGTTATTTCACTGTAAATTGAATGTAATGGCTGATCTACTAAAAAATACTGGAACTCCATCATGAATTTTAAAAATCTGATGCAAATATGGTAATGTCTTAAATTTTGATAAAACCAGTGGAGGGATATTCCAGAGTCATATTATTCTTGTTAATTTTCAGGATACTTGAATGTTTCATAGTTTTCAATAATATATAAATATTTAAATCTCTCCAAATAGAAAATTCAGCCTTGATTTTTATAGTGAAATGGTTTTTTTCCTTAAGTAAAAGGGCTAAGATCTTGTCCTATGGACTTCCTATGTGACCTTGAGCTGGTCAATTTACTACCTCTCTGAGAGTTTTCTCACCTGTAAAATACAAGACTTGGACTAGATGATTGCTCAGATTCTTTACTCTCAAATTTTATGACCGAGTCTACTTTCTGACAGCTAAAAAAGATGGGGCTAATTTTAATGAATAGTGTCTGTCCACATATCTTGCATATAACTGATTGCAAATGCCTTGAAGCTAAAATGAATGGTCAAAGAAGTGCCATCTGCTTCTATTCCAATTATATTGAGAAGCTGCCTCAATTTTTTTAAACAGTTAGCAAAAAACAGAAGTTGTCAGGAAATGTGTTGTAAACAATATCACCCCCACACATTTATTGAATAATTCATAGCCAGTATTTGGTAGACTCATAATTTTTGAAACAACATTTTTTCCTAAATACCTGAGTGTTCCATAGTCAGTAATAAATGATTTAATTGTCTTAACCTTGATAATTACAGTGTCTAAGGATTTATATCTCAGATTAAAATTTATTTTATTTTTATTAATTTTCTTTGAATCAATTTTGCTATATTGTATGAGAATGAAATATTTACCATAGTTGACTACCCCTACTATTACTTTGCACACATCTATTTTTTCAGCTTTGTTAAAGTATAATTAGAAAAAAATAATTATCAATTTAAGTTATGAAATATGACATTTTGATACATGCATGCATTGTGGAATGATTACCAAAATCAGGCAGTTAACACATCCATCTCCTCACATGGTTATCATTGGTGTGTGTACATGGCAAGGACACTTAAAACCTACTCTCTTATCAACTTTCAAGTCTACATTAAAGGATTATTAGCTACAAATCTCCAGAATTTATTCATCCTAAATAACTGAAAATTTATACACTTTAATTAACTTTCCCATTTTCCTCACTCTCCTCTGACCCTTGTTAACCACCATTACACTCACCACTTTCAAAATTCAACTTTTAGATTTCACATATAAATAATATCATGCAGAATTTGTATTTCTGTATCTTTTGCCCACTGATTCAAGATTTTAAAACTTTTGTACATTCTTTCATTTATTCAACAAATATTTATTGAGAATCTGCAAATGTATGGCAGGTATTGTTCTAGGTACTTTGTAAGTACTTGAAAATTAACTATATGATGATAATAAAATAAAATGGGCAATATTTTTCACATATTTTTATTTTGTTATGTAATGTGCAAAAAAGCAGAAAATGGTACAGTAGTTTGTTATTTTGCCTCTTTAGCCTATAAGTTACACTATTCTTTAACACTGTCTTAAAACTAAATAAAGAAGGGTTAATATCACAACCATGAATAAACAGAATAGACAAGATGATTGTCTGAAAGCTTTCATTGATCTTCACCACCACCTCCATTTACTTCTCTTCTCTCTCCCTCTCCCTCTTCCATATTCCTTATATTTCCACTCATTCACATTTTCCATTCTATGCTTAATGACCAGAAGTCTCCTGTCAATGAGTAATGTGTTACCAGATGTAACTAGCACCCCCACCATTTAATGCATCATCCTCTTTGGGTAGCCGACTCTGTTAGTTGTAATGTCACTTGGGTTCTCTGAGAAGTGAATGCTAAAATGAAAGCAGGAATGAAAGAGGTTTATTGAGCAATGATTGCTGATGGGGTAGGGAAAGAGTAAAGCTTGTGAAAGATAAGAAGGAAAGGAAGCAGAATGGGATAGGAGAAGGTTTGCTCACCATGTAGAACAGATAATGTCTCTGTTGACTCAAAAGGAAGCTAGAGACTACTACTGAGCAGACACTTCTGTATGCATTGTGGAATGATTACCACCAGCAGGCAGTTAACATATCCATCTCCTTGCATAGTTATCATTGATGTGTCCACACCACTGTGGACAGCTGCTGGCTGGCTGTTGCTGGGAAAGAGCATGGCATAAGCAATAAAACTGAAGAAGAGCCTGGAAGCGTTAAAAGCCAGAGACTATTAGCTGATTTCACTCTCCACAACAGAAAGGCAAGTGCTTTCCTGGAGGAAATTTTAAGACTGACCAGGCTTGGTGGTGCATGCCTGTAAGCCCAGCAATTTAGGAAACTGAGGAAGGATGGTCACAAGTTTAATTTCAGTCTCAGAAACTTAATGAGACCCTATCTCAAAATAATTTTTTTCTTAAAAGAGGCTGGGGATGTAGCTCAGTGTTAGAGCACCTCTGGATTTAATCCCCAATGCTGGAAGAAAGAAAGAAAATTCAAGATGGACTTGCAAGGCATAAGACACTTATAAAAATCAAGAAATTAGTGGGATGATAAAAAGAGCTGCCTAAAAGGGATATAGGAGAACTGAGAACAGTAATTAAAGGAGAGACTCAAGACAACTCTTGATTAACAGGGGAACCCAAAATACTGTCAAAAGCTGAAGGGAGTGAAGGCAAGGCAGAAGCAGTGATGGCAACTCTAATGTTGAGCAATCTGACCCCAGACTGGAGACTAGGCCTTGCTCCATCTCGTAAGAATCTTATGGTCATTTCCTAATCTCTGCACATTGCAGCTGTCTCTTCTGTATTATGTGTAAATATAAGGTTTTGGAAATAAAAAGCAAGAGTCAAATTGTGACAACCTATTAAATCCCAATATTTGTTAGCTATAATTGTTTTAATTGCTGTTGTTGCCAATTGTTGTTTTATTGAAGAGTTGTTGATCTACTTCAACTAGAACTAGGACAAGAGATAGGTAGGAGGCAATGATATTGCAGGTGGCAAACGAAACTAGAAATACAAATGCAAAAGCGAGTTTGGAATTAATCCTCAAGAGGCTCAGTGTCTCTCTCCCTCATTTCCCACATCGACCCAAGCATTAAAGCTTCTGATCCTACCACCTAGAATTTC